AGAGGAGGAAACAGGTAGCGTGTGGTCCTGGAATATGAGAACAAGAGAAGTGCAGTAGACCGGGGGCCCAGAGAAGCTGCGGCGTCTCCACAGAAACTTCCAGAAAGCCGCTGCTGGCCAGAATGAACCATCCGGGCTTCTTGCGTCCATGATCTGATCAGTGTAAATGAATGGAAAGCTACAACGAGCGGTCTATGAACGGTGCCACCTTATTTGTTTTGCAGACTAATCCCAGCCACAGCAAAGCCTTGGTAAATCCCCGAGTTCTCTGTGGTACCTCTCCTGGGTAGCAGCAAGAATGACTGGGCACACTCCTCCACCACACCACATGCAGCTTCATGATAGTTTTGAGAAGTCAACTATGCAAAGTCTTCCCTCCTCTTCTCTGTGCATCCATCTGACTTGGCTGCTTCCTCCAGCACCCAGCGCACAACTCTTGGCTGTTTGAGCAGCACATGGCACGAGGGTTTTAATCTGTCTGCCTCCTCCCTCCCTGTCTAACCTCTCAAGTTCAGAGACAGGCCAAGGCACTCTGGATTTCCATGGCGAGCCCATACTGGGTGGTGGCGGGGGGAGGTTGTCCAAAATCCTAAATGTTGCCTTTCCCCTCCTTCTGTCTTCGGGTTCCTCGTGCCCTAGAAACTAGGAAGACAGCCACAACACACATGCTTTTGGAGTCTCCTTAGAAATCCCGGAATATTCACGTATGAACCTCTCCCAAGTGTGCAGCCAGGTCTGAGAGGCAACAAGGCTAAGTTCTTCAGATTTCTGGGGCTGTCCTCTGGGTACTTAGTAAGCAGTTAGTCGACAGCCTAAGAGAGAATGTCATTTCCCGAAGCAGAGCACATCTCATCTGCTCAGAAGAAAACTGTTCACCATCTAGTTTGTCTTTCTAAGTGAGACAGACAGAAGACCAACATTACTAAGCCTGCTGTACAGGTGGGAGACTCTCGCACGTGTTTGAGGAGACAAAGCAGGGACAGAGCCAAGATAGGTAGTTCCCAAATGTTTAGTCGCCCAAGACGACTTTCATTATACTCCACGCTGCCACGGGTCCTTTGTGTTGGAAACTGTTTTGTGTTCCACCCCCCACCCCAGAGAACCCCATATTCATGAATGAGGAATCCATATATCCGTTTTTGATTCATTAATGGCATTTAAACTGAACAGTCCATTGCTTTTTGGTGAGACAGCCATCACGAAGGCACGCTGTTATGTTCCTAGGGAGCCACAAGGAAAAGGGACTGTTCCATTAGCCTTATCAGCCTTTCTCCGGGCACACAGACCTTTTTCCTTTGGCTCTTTGAAATGCTGAAACTTAGTCTTAGAAATTCATTTCTCTCCTATGGAACTCCCAGGTTCCGGAGGACCCTAGATCAGGACGCACCACCCTGGCGGGTTCCAGACCAGTGGTTCTCAAACTCAGGCATCAGGATCAGCAAGGAGGGCATGTTCCAACATAAATCCCCCCAAGGGCCAGGTTGTGGAGGTCTAGGTAGGGTCCGAGCCTTGGCATTTCTAACAAGCTTCCAGGTGAGACTAAAGATACCGGTCTGGGGGCCACGTGTTGAGAACCACTGTTCGAGGTGCTGCCCTAGGACACCAGCCCTATGATTCTGCACGTCCGTCCTTATCTGGAATCCTGAAGTTGCTGGGTTCTGTCCTGCAAGCCTGGAGGGAGTGAGCCCGTGAGAAGAGGCAGGCATGGCCCTGCCTTTGTTGCCCAAGCTGACCAACAGCAGGCTCCCCCTCTCAACCCCCCGTTTTGGGCTGGAGGGTTGGCCCTTCCCCTTCACTGATGCCTCAGTGGCCCCAGGGCCCGTGTTCTCCTTTTCCCAGACTCCTGTTGGAGTCATGAGGTTAGGGTCCAGAGTGGAGGACAGCAGGAGGCCTGTTCTATCCTTGGGATCTTTTTCTGAGCTCTCGTAAGCAAATGTTTATACACACAGCTGACCCAAATTAGCTGGAACTGCAGAACCGAAATAGGACGAGGCCGTAACTAAACGCTGAGGCGAGAACACGAATTCCCTTGTGAGAAGTGATTAATCTTCCTCCCGGGGGAACAAGTTAGATGTGAGGCTGACTGAATTTACAACCATATTTTAATTTGAAATCACATTGACTTTTTTTTTTTAATTTAGAAATCCAAATTCCTTTTCCGTCTTAAATGTCAGCATCTCCAAAAACAAAATTTTGCCATTTGATACTCCCAAGGCTGGCGGCAAGAGGTCTTTTGTGTATTTTCCAAAAAGCCGATTTGAGGGGGCATGCATTATGGCTTTTGCTGGCCCTCAGGGGAGCTGGCTAAAACCCACATTCTCTAGAGTCATGGAAAAAGCAAATGTCAGTCACAGAGCCGTGGCAGGATGGTTCTCCGTGGGGTGACCCCAAGCCAGTACCCCATATGACATCCCTTAAGCCCCGGGGAGATGAGCGTGTGGTAAAATGCAGTGTGGGGACCTCTTTGGCTTTCTTCCCAAGTCCTTGCCAAATGGACATAGCGTCTCCCACTGTGTCTCTGAGATAGAAGTTTCCAGAAGACCTTTGTGTTCCTGGCATCAGAGACCTGGACCGTGCAAATCAGTTCACAAGTTATTAACACCAAGAAGCGATGAATTACAGCCCTCCAAGGCTAAGATACAGGAAATGCACTGCTTCTTCGAACAATTAATAAGTTCTGCTAATAGGAACTGAAGAGCCCCAGGGGGCAAGAGAAATTCCTCCTAATTCCTAAGCCCCATTAAAACCAATTGAATTTGGAATGTAAGTGATACTGCGGGATGGATTCATACTGCTCCCCTAAGGCTGCTGCTTAAGGAAAAGGATGTGTGAATGCTTTCTAACCACTTAATATAGTCACACAAAGATCATTTCTTTTCTGGAGAATGTAAGTGATGAGGGCAACACCAATATGGAATCCCAAATTAGATGACCACCAGACTGTGGTCTTCGGACAGAGGTGAAGACCTCTCCGTGCAGACTGTACAGGTTCACCAGGGCCCCCTGGACCTGGAGCAGACTTGGAGGCTCTGGTTGCCTGGGGATACGGGAGTTGCTCTCAGAACACCATCGGTAAAATTGCAACCGTGATCAAATGCAGGAAAAGACCAGCCTCCTTACAAGGAGTGGCGACCCAACCCGAATCAGAGAAAATGCCTAAGCAGTCAGTTAGGACAGCACGTTTCTCCAGATGATTTCCCAGAGCTACTGAGCAGGGATGAACGGAAGGTGTGGGCAAGGGGGCATTGGAAATGGCAGATTTTGCAAAGAAGCCCGTTTTAAGAATGAAAGCAGCAAAGAGAAACATGTTCAATCAATGGGAACTGGGATATTCAAGCAGCACATTCTATTATTTTTCCTATAAGAAGGGAAGCCCCTTAATCTCTGCTTAAAGTGAGGAAGAGGGTAGGCAGCCAGCTGGGACTACTGGGCACGTTCCTTCGGTCGACACTCCTTTGGTCCCCTGAGGCAGGAACACTGAGAGAGAGCACGCCTTAGTGGCTTCCCAAGCTGTACCCTCCGTAGAGGATAAGGTGGTCGACCAGCTGCCAGGACTGCCATGCCGTTTGCTTGATGTCCAGCAAGCTCTCCTGAAATCTGTGCTCAGATTTATAATTTACCTTAAAGACTGAGCAAGACTCACACAGGTCCACCTCCAAGTGGCCGATCTGGCCAGAAACCCAATTTTTTATTTTTTATTTTTTTTATTTTTTTTTTAAAGATTTTATTTATTTATTAGAGAGAGATCACAAGTAGGCAGAGAAGCAGGCAGAGAGAGAGAGAGAGAGAAGCAGGCTCTCTGCCGAGCAGAGAGCCCGATGCGGGACTCGATCCCAGGACCCTGAGATCATGACCTGAGCCGAAGGCAGCGGCTTAACCCACTGAGCCACCCAGGCGCCCCAAGAAACCCAATTTTTTAAGCTGGCCAAACCTTGGAGGAGCATTTCGTTGCCCGTCACTGACAGGTGGACATCTGCTGCGTCCTGCGGCTCATCAGCTTGTCCAGACTTGCAACTCAGAAAAGTACTCCGTGCGGCTTTGTGACCTCTCACCAACCTTATCACTTAGAATGCAGATTTGATTGTCTTTGGCTCTGGAATGATTGTTTCAGGGGCTCAGGAAAGCTCATAAGAGATGCAGAATGTTGCCCAACGATGTTCTGCTTCTCTGTTAAGTCGGAAGAGGTTCCCCACCACGGTGGAGAGCAGGAAGAAGAGGGGAGGTTGGAGGCAGCATTGGGTCCAGGCTCTCCAGGCTGCTGTGCACTCTGGCTGACCCGGGCATTGTGTGTCTCTCGGGTGCTAATGTTTTCAACAGCACGCCTTGGAAGAAGTGAAGTTGTCAGAGGACCTACCTAGGCTCTTAGCCCTAACTATGTGACCCTGGGCGAGTCAGCAGATTTCTGTGGACTCAGTTTCCACATCCTGTTCAGGGCAGGAGCTCATTTCACCATCTCCAGGGCCCCTTCCAGCCCTCCAAGTCTGATTCTGTGCTTCTCACCCAGCACCCTTAGCTGCATGTTCCCGTCCGACCCATCACGGACCTTATCCCCAGTTCGAGTCCCTCCCTGCAGGCTGGGACGCCCCTCCCGTGGCCTGCAGCCTCCACCCAGACTTCTGCACTCAGAGGCAGGGCCAAGTGGGAGAGAGCGTTAGGCACCCCTTCTGCCCCTGTCCCTCACTCTGGATCTGTGTCCAGCCTCCCAAAAGTCCCCGCGCCTCCCCAGGATCTCGGAATGCCCTGTCTCCACCACCTGTCTCCTGTCGCACGTCTGCCTCTGCTGCTGCTCCTGTTTTCGGCCTCAGTTCCACCCCCTCTGTATCCTCTGGCTTCAGGGAAGCTGGTGTCCTCCGGGGCCTCTCCTCTTCGATTGCTTGTGGCCTAGTAAAGGCACTCACGTCCATCTTCTGCACAGCTCAGCAAGCACGCCAGCATATCCCGTCTTCGCTGCTCAGTACCCTGAGCCCGCCTCTGCTCACGTCCCTGTCTTTCCGTTGCAGCACTGAAAAATCCAACTGAGTTCCATGAGCAAAGAAAACATTTGGATAGTGACAAGGTAAATTTTTTTTTTTTTTTTTTTGCAAACTGCCCTCTTTCTGAACTTGGACTCCAGGGTATGGATCTCTGAGCGTTCAGCTTTGGCTAAAGCAGGCAGAATTTGTACCACAAACTTGATACATGGGCCCTCTCCCTCAGACCCCTGCCACACCATAGGGGATCCTACTCCTACAAACAGAAAACTGGAGAAAGGTGATTGACCACCTTTCGCTTTGAAACTATTTTTTAGCTTAAGAAAATGTCCCCAGTCTTTCTGATGTTGGGAAGATCGTGGCAAGGACACTGAAGAAGGCAGACAGACTTTGAAAAGCCTTCTAGCCCTTTCTTACAATCAGATTTTTAAAAAATCCAATGTACTACTAAGGTAGGGTCTGTGAATACAGGGCTGATTGGCAGGTACCTAAAGGCAAAAGGCTTTGGGTTTATGTCTCTTTCTGTTTTTGTTTGTTTAACACAATCGGGGTTGGGGGAGGAGGTATTGGCATATACTCTATACCTTCATAGTAAATCTCTGCAAACTGAATTTATCAATAATAGAATAAATACTATTTAACCGGCATCAGCCCTGTATGAGAATGAGATGCAGGGGGTTGCCTTTTTCCTGGAATTTCTTTGTCCACGAGTTCTAACCTTGCAGCTACATCGTGGGAGGAGAAAGGAGCTGAACTCTGTACATCCTCATAGTCACTCCCGAGAGGCTGTGTTCCCTGCTACCTGGATAACAACTGTCTTCTATCAGAACGGGAGTGACCTCCAGACCCCTTTCCAGAGTCCAGTAGGAGATCCAGTAGAGTGGGATCAAAACCCAGAACTAGAAACCAGGGCCTGAGATCCGGGGGTGGCCCTGCCAAGCCCCAATCCATCCCCCCAGACAGCTCCACCTTCAAGAAGGCGATGGGACTCTGTAAATCATCTCCGTGTGTCCTTCCCACTCACGGTGCTCCTGAATTTACATTTTCTCAGGTCCTAAGAGAGAAGGCAGGTGCGTCCTTGGAAGAGGGAGTAGGCGGTCATGTTCTCCTAGGTGGACTCGGGCTACGTTTCATCTCTAACGTTAGTCAGTTTCACAGCTGCTTTAAGAGTCCAAGGAATAGAATTAACTATAGCACAACCAACTTTGTATCATCGGAACTTTATTAATGTTTTGTTAGCACATACCTGCCAGGCCTTTAAGTGCGCAGCCCTGGTGGGGACCCAGACTTCTTCCCTCTTTACTGAATTTTTCCATCTTAAAATTACTGGCGAGGCTTTTGCAAACCTTCCTGCATCAAAACGTAGGAAACCAGAGAGATTTGCAAGTCCTGTTTGTCAAAACAAGGACTGTTCTCCCCTTTGAGAGAAATCGAGGCCCTTTTAAAGTCATAACAGGGCAGTTCAACCGTGTGAGGTCGCTAGTGGAATGTGCTCTGTGTTTATACCCACAGACTGAAGACTCCCTCAAGCACAAGGTCAGAAACAGGCCCGACCGTGTGGACGTGGTTAATATGCACATACTCCAAGGTGAGACCACACCCAAGCTGACCCAGGATGCCCGCCACGGTGGGCATGTGCCACAGGTTCTTATTTTCTATGTCCTCTTGACAAACGTCCCCTCCTATTCTGGAGTGCTCGTTTGAGTCACCCGAGGGCCACGGAGACAATCAAATCAGGAAGGTAGAGGCTGGGCTCCCATCTCAGCTCTGCTTCCTCCCGATGCTCCCTGAGCGCATGTCTCTCCCGGCCATGTACCAGAATCCCCGTGTGTCCGTCCTTTGGCCGGTAATGAACCTCTGGTACGTTAACTAAAGAAAATAACCAGGCGTACAAAAATGCATATACAGTGATGTTTACGGAGGGGTTATTTTTGATGTTGAAGCATGGAAAGCAGTGAAATGTCCCCACACTGGGGGACGGGCTGAATTCATGACGCATGGTCCGTACAACGGAATGCCTCGCAGCCACTATAAATGAGCCTTTAAAAGGAAGAGGATATAATAAGAAAAGGATGTTCAGTGAAGAAGACCAGAAAACAAAGCCATATTTACGGTCAGATTCAGGGATGAACAAACATATACATCAACATTATTTGTAGTCCGATTCTGTGATTTAAAAAAAAAAAAAAAACACAACATAGCTCAGGGGGACCCACCTGGCCGGCTCAATTGGTGGAACGTGTGACTCTTGATCTCAGGGTTGTGGGTTGGAGCCCCACGTCGGGTGTAGATGACTTAAAAAGAAAATCTTAAAGAAAGAAGGAAGGAAGGAAGAAACGGAGGGAGAGAGGGTGGGTGGAAGGAAGGAAGGAAGGAATACATAGCCCTAACAATAAATACAAACAGTTAAAAACTGTTGACTCAAAGTAGGGAAGTTTCTCGATGCTTTCATTGTCTTTCATATACTCTTTGAGCATTTCCCATACTTAGGAGGGACGAGTATGTAATAATACTACAATCAAAACAGCATGAGAGGGGCGCCTGGGTGGCTCAGTCAGTCAAGCCTTGGACTCCGGATCTCAGTTCTGATCTTGATCTCGGGTCATGAGTTCAAGCCCCGTGTGGGCTCCACACTGTGCATGGCGCCTACTTAAGAAAAAAAAAAAGGCATGAGAAATGTTATCTGTTACATCTTCACCATCTGGAATTAAAATAGGCTGTGAACTCCCATGGCCCCCTGTTCAATTGCATGACTCTACTGGTTCCCATGGGATCCTCTCTCTTTTAGAGAGAAATTAGGAATTAGTGCCCTCGGGCACCAAGGATCTACTGGATGCAAAATGACCCCTCTTTGCAAAGGTTCATGGTCTAGTTTTGGAAGCAGCGGCATAAGCCATGGCTGTAAGTGCTAGAGGCAGTCGCAGCAAAAGGGGCAAGTAAGAACAAGCTTTGTGCTGAGACCCAAAGAGTTGGCTGCCGGGCTTGTGGTGGGGAGAAGGTAGGAAGCTCGCCAAGCTGAGGAAACTAAGCAAAGGTACAAGGGTGAACTCAGTGAGACGTGATGGACAGAAGGGGGAGGACCAGGGTCGCTGGAGTAGTCCTTTGGGGATGGGGAATCTCCGTTCATGGCACAGGCAGAGTGAGACAGAGGAGTGTTGTGCAGGGCTTTCAAGGGAGGAGTGTTTTCTCAAGGTTAAATGACGCACAGGATGAATCGGCAGGACCCCTGAGCCAGGAGACCCAGCGAAAAGCCCTTGCCATGACCCGAGGGGACGTTAGAGGAGGTCCGGGGAGGACCTAGTCTCAGCACACCTATGCTTGGTCCGCAGTACTGATGCTTTGTCCACCCCGTGTCAGGTGCATTACAGAGACAGCTTTTAGACCAGACCTGACCTGTTGCAGCCATACCACAGCCCGAGACCGCTCTGGTGTGGAGATTTCTAAATCAGCCGCCAGACACGCGGTCTGGGTGAGTGGGTTGATGAGAATAGAACAACAGGGCTGGGAGGCTGATGTGTAAATATCTCCTCTTCTAGAGTAAATATCTAAAATGTGTACATATCTCCTCTTCTAGAGTAAAGCTAGAATCCTGACAGGTCTGTCTGAACAGCAACAACTGGTCAACCAAGCTCTCCTCCATGTTCTTACACAGAAATAAGTCAGGGAGTAATCAGGAGAGGAATATATGGGCGATTCAGGACTTGATAGAGACCTTTAGCACCGTCCAAATAATGAGAAACCACCCCCCCGGATGGACTCAGTTTTTAAAAAGGCCCCCGTTTAATTAAGTAACTGTTTCAAATGGATTTTTTTTTAAAGATTTTATTTATTTATCTGACAGACAGAGATCACATGTAGGCAGAGAGGCAGGCAGAGAGAGAGAGAGAGAGGAGGAAGCAGGCTCTCCACTGAGCGGAGAGCCCGATGCGGGGCTCGATCCCAGGACCCTGAGATCATGACCTGAGCCGAAGGCAGAGGCTTCAACCCACTGAGCCACCCAGGTGCCCCTGGATTTTTTTTTTTTTAATTTTACAGTTGACCTTGACATTGGCGTCCATTAGTATCACAACATCACCAAACCTTAAGGAGTAATACTACTGCAAATAATTATAATAATAGGTAATTATCTGGCAGACTCCGTCCATGCCAGGCAATGGAGAGACAGGACGGGCATCCCTGTGCTGCAGCTTAGGGTCAAAGGGACTGCTTATCCACAGAATTGCCAAATTGCACTTTTTTTTTTTTTTCAAAAATCGGTGCAAAGCACGTTTCTCTAACTCTTCCGGGCCCCTCGATTTGCCTTTATTTGGAAGTGTCTGGTCTTTGCTGCTAATCCATGTGAAATGACCGTGATTGCACGGAAACATCATTAGGGTGCGCGTACAAAAGCCTAAAAGCAAAAGCAAACCCAAAGCTGCCATCCGAACGGTAGCACTGATTCTTCCGGTTTCAACCCCGCAGGCTCCACTGCAGAGAGATCCATCCCAACTGCTCAGATGAAGCTGAAAAGAGCCCGTCTCGCGGATGATCTCAATGAAAAGATCGCCCTCCGGCCGGGGCCACTGGAGCTGGTGGAAAAGAACATACTCCCCGTGGATTCTGCTGTGAAGGAGGCCATAAAAGGTAGTTAGAACCCACGGCGTATGTCCTTCTGTGCTCTGAGATCTGAGGGCAGCCAAGACTCTGGGGCACCAAGGGTCCTGGGGGCGGGGCCTCTCACGGGACAGGAGTCCTGCCCTGGGTCACTGTCCCAGAGTCCTCTCCATAACCAGAGGTCACGGATTCAAGCGATCTTTCATTTCCCTTAGTAAGGTTTTGGGTTTTTTTGTTTTTGTTTTTTTTTAGTAAAGTTATGTTAATTATTGCTGACACGTAGGAAATGTATTGAGCTTGCTCATTCATTTTTTAACTTTGAAGAGTTTCTCAATTATTACGATAATTTCTCAATTTATCTTCAATTGACTAGGTACGCCATCATGTCTCCTACAAATAATGAAAATTTCTCTCCCACTTTGTTTTTTTCTGCCTTGGTGCATGCCTGATACTTGAAAAGTAACACCAAGGTTTCGTTAATGTATCATATAATTAGCATCACCTAAAAAACCATATACATTATATTCATAACATATAAATTATATATAATTTTCATGTTTTTACAAATTATGTATTTGTGAATTATATGAATTTTATATGAATTACAAATTGTATAATATACTATATTATGCAAACTTAATATATACTTTATTATATATAAAATATCTGTATTATACATAGATGTATATCATATATAAAATATATATATGAATTATATAAAGCACATAGTTTATGTCATTTCATACTATGTAATGAACAATGCATTTTAGTAATTATAAATATATTATATAGTAGAAAATTATCTCTATTTGCACATTGCCAGGGATTTAATCAGTATTTTATTATTATATATATGTTATGTTTTTGGTATGTTGATAACATTTATTTTTCTGTTTGTTTCTGTCACAAATGGGGATTTCTTCTCTGATGCATCTCTATATATGGTACTAGCTTTTGGTATATAGATAGGTTTTCTAAGGAGGTATTTCTCTATCCCATCCTACTAAAGAGTAGTGTATAAGATGGGTGCTGAATTCTTAAATGCTTTCGACATGCACAGAAAGGCGATCGCATGAGTTTTCTTCTTTGACCTAGGAATATGGCATTGCTCTCTTTTCTAATCACCTTGCATTTCTGGAAAAAATCCTACATAGAATTCTTTTCTGGAAATATCTGGTATTTTATTTGAGATTTGCATCTGTTTTATTATTAGTTAGGATAATAGTAGCTGCTAAACCAACCACAAAATTTCAGCAGCTTAACAACACAAGTTTACGTTTTGTTTGTAAACGGTCCAGAAGGGATTTTCCTTAATGGCAGATTTTACCGGCACACAGACCCCTTCGGTCTGCCTGCTCCCCTGTCCCCTAGAGCAGGACAGCAAACTTTCTTAAACGGCCACACAGTAGATAGGCTGAGTGATTTAAACTGTTGGTCACAACTACTCAGCTCTGCTGCTGCGGTGTGAAGAGGTCCATAAGCAATAAGTCAACAAGTGGACATGGCCATGTTCCAATAAAACTTAACTTACAAAGGCAGGCTCACAGGCTATAATTTGCCAGCCTGTGCCCCAGAGCTCCCTCATCCTCTGCACTAGCCAGTGAGGGGGAAGAAAGAATGGAAAGGCCCACAGACCTATTTTAAAAGCCTCCACCTGGAAAGAAACACATCACTTCTGCTCATATTCCATTGAGAAAACAGCATGTATGGCTGGGGAAGGTTTTTTTCTGGCTGAACGGTGATTTTCCGGTATAATGTGCAGCTCAGTCTCACAACCCCAAAATCATGACCTGAGCCAAAGTCAAAAGTTGGACACTCAACCCACCAAGCCATCCAGATGCCCTTAAAATTTGATTTTTCAAAAAAAAAAAAATCCTCATTACTCCACTGAGTAATTATTATTAGCCTAAAGTTGTATAAAGTCTTGGCTTACAGTCGTTCTAAGCTGCTCTCGATCAGGGGTTCTGCTCTGGTTTTCCATGCCTTGTTGATTTGTGCATTTTTTTTCCCTTCCTCCCTCCCTTTTTCATCACACTTGCTAAAAGTCTTTCTTTTTAATTGGTTATTATTACAAAGAAGCAGTTCATGAATTTGTTTTGGTGGTTGTTGGTTTCTGGTCTCTACTTGGATTCATTCAATTTTGCTTCTCATCACGGTCATTGAGCAGGAGAATCTCCATGAGCAGAGCTGAGGGTCAAGAGTGTTCATCAGTTTTGGGTGCAGTAGGGACAGGTGGGGGCAGAGGGAAGCTTGAACAACAGGCCCCCCTTCAGGTGAGGTGTTGGAGGGTGTGTGAGCAGGAGTGTGGTCAGCAGAAATGCGTAGAAAACAATAAACATGAGGGCTAGCAAAATAATAATAATAATAACAACAACAACAACAGGCAGAGCAAGAAGCTCCCTGAAGGTACAGTTGCTGTGGGATCCACTGCCCTCATGTTCAGAGCTGGACTTTGCGACTTTGGCCACACAGCCATGCAACAATTTAATCCCAAATGCCTCAGTTGCTCCTCTCTGAAACCCCAGCAACACCAATACCTGTCTTCTGGGGCCTTTTTTCATGGTGGATTCGGTTTTTTACTCATGTAAAGAAATAGCCGGGCACTGACAGTACATTAGGGAATTAGTCCGGTTTCTGATCTCCCGACTTCGCACTTGAGCAAGAAAAGAGCAGGAAAGCCAGCATTCTACATGCCAATTCCTCTGAAGGGAATGGACAAGAGTCACAAAGATCATTCTGGCTGCAATGTAAAGTGGACTCAAGAGATGGGAAATAGTGCCAGAGTACTGTCTTCTGTTAGGGGGTAGCTGGAGTTGAGGAAAGTTGATGGAAGCATGAATGAGAGTCCTGGCTGGGGGTGTGGAAAAGAGAGACTCAGAGAGGAAATTGATTCTGCATGATCAGTGGGATACACCAACTGAGACAAAGGGAATGCAAAAGATAACACCTAGGTTGGGCAACTGGGTCAATGGCGGCCATTTATCAAGATGGGGGCCATGAATAGAATAGCAGATATGGGGGGAGATGATGGATTCCTGTTTCAACTATGGAATTAGAGGGGCCCAGAGAAAATCCAAAGGCAAGGGACTAAGTAAACATGGGGTTCTATCAAACTAGAATGCAGGAGAATGTTGATCTAGAGCTACAGATCCAGGAGACTTCCACGTGTACGAACATGTAAACCAATGGACTAGATAAGATTGTCTTTCCATTCATATATTTCTTCACTTACTATTTATGGAGTATGCTATGTGTCAGACACTATTCTGAGTGCTTGGTATATGACAGTGACTAGAACATTTCTGCTTCAGCAGAGCTTATGTTCTAGTTGGGAGACACTGGCAGTCAACAGACACGTAATGAAAAATTACATATCATAATTAAGGGGTAATGTAAAAATAAAAGTTGTGCAGGGTCCAAGGAATTAAGAGTGCCTGCTAGAGGGTCGTTGGGAGGAATGGAGGCTGCATAAAAGCAAGGAGAGCTAGGAGGCTCCCAGGCAGTGATCTTTAAAACAGAGGAGGGAGACCATGAAGATGAAGGGAGCAAATGGCCATGGAAAGGATATGGAGGATATAGCAATAATCTTTCCATGTGCATAAGGGTTTTTATGGGCAACATGATGGCCTCATATGAAGTGTCAGAAAGACAGAGAAAGTAGCTCACAGACTAGCTATGGAGCCCACTCTACAATCTGTCGCTTCTTGTGATCAAATGCCCTCCCCGTGGTGAAGCGGTGAGTCAGGGCAGTGTTTCCCTCTGGCTTGTTCTCCTATGTATTTCATCCTCTCTCCATGTGCTTTTCCAGATGTGCTTAGGTTTTCCAGCTATGTCTGTAGCTTGATTTCTATGTTTCTGCCCGACTCTGAGCAGAACGCTTGGTCATGGTCTTCCTCTTGGTTTTAGGAAAGACCAAGTGTTCCCCAACCCAAGACCAATCTAGAACTTCTCCCAATATACAAAGGGATTTTTTTTTTAATTTTTAAATTTAAAAATTTTATTTTTTTTAAAAGATTTTATTTATTTATGACAGAGAGAGAGTGAGAGAGAAAACACAAGCATGGGGAACTGGAGAGGGAGAAGCAGGCTCCCAACTGAGCTGGGAGCCCAATGAGGGACTCCATCCCAGGACCCTGGGATCATGACCTGACCCGAAGGCAGATGCTTAATGACTGAGGCACACAGGTGCCTCCCCAATTTTTTATTTTTAATTTTAATTCTCATAGAATTAAAATGCAGTGTTATGTTAGTTTCAAGTATACAATACAGCAATTCAACATGATGACTCAGTGGTCATCACGATTAATGTCCCCTTAATCCCCTTCATCTCTTTCATCCATCCCCCCACCGACCTCCCCTCTCATGACCATCAGTGCATTCTCTATAGTTAAGAGTCTGTTTCTTGGTTTGTCTCCCATCCCCCTTTGTTCATTCATTTTATTTCTTAAATTCTACATATGAATGAAATCATATGGTATTTATCTTTCTCTGACTTATTTCCCTTGGTATTATGCCCTCTAGCTCCATCCATGTTTTTGCAAATGCAAGATTCCATTCTTTTTATGGCTGAGTAATCTTCCATTGTATATATACACTACATCTTCTTGATGCCTTCACCTATCAGTGGACACTTGGATTGCTTCCATAATTTGCCTATTGTAAATACTACTGCTATGAACATTGGGGTGCATATGTCTTTGTGAATTCGTGTTTTCATATTCTTGGAGTAAATATCCAGTCGTGGAATTACTGGATCATGTGGTAATTCTATTTTTAAGTTTTTGTAGAACCTCCATACTGTTTTCCACATGGCTGTACCAGTTTGCTTTCCTACCGGCAGTGCCTGAAGGTTTCCCCTTTCTCTAAATTCTCACTAACACCTGTTTTTTCTTGTGTTGTTGATTTGAGCCATTCTGACAGGTGTGAGGTGGCATCTCATTGTGGTTTTGATTTGCATTTCCCTGATGATGAGTGAAGTTGAGCATCTTTTCATGTGTCGGCAATCTGGATGTCTTATTTGGAAAAATGTC